TAGAAAAATAGATATATCGTTCAGTTGATACAGTTCAGATTATTTCTTCTTTATTGTGACCGAGACATTTTTTTTTTAAATTATACATATAATATGATATTTTAAAGTTTCATACCTATAAATTATATAATATAATATTATTACCATATATTATTATAGGAGGTCCATAATCCATATTATATTATACGTTTTGGCAAACGCGGGGTTGAGTGTCTTGTCGAGAACGACTCAGTTTATATCATATTATAATAATAATCTTTGCCGTATACACCTGAAGTGCAGTTGCCGGATGTGTGAAAATCCTACATTAACATAATATTTTGAACGTGATGATATATCTCTAAACCGTTTTAAAATTCTATTTTCCTAAACCGAACGTACCACGGTCCCTAAACGGGTGACACTCACCGCACACGAATACCAATTACGATATTCTGTTTATACACGGTATATGGTATACCTCCACAAACACACATCGGCGACTTCGATATAAATATGACCACTGCACCGTAAAAAAAAAAATTGCGAAAATTACACATATACATATATAATATTATATTGCATTTATGTGTATACGAGCGTTATGACTCTGTGCGTATAATATAATATGTGTGAGATTTCTGAAAATATGCATGGGCATACATTTACATTAATATATTACATACTATCATATATCACGGGTGATAGGCACAAGCGTTTGTATTACTTTATAATAATATAATATTTTAAATGTATCTATACGGGAAATAATAAAACGGTGAAACGGTTTTTATTATTATTGAAAATGTGGTCTCGTATATATTCTATAAAATGGGTGTATAAAATCTAAATATAATGTTTAAAAATTATGCGTATTTTAATATGATACACAATACGCTCCTCAAGTATATAATATCACAGTGTGCGGCGGCGAAACCTCGATAATATAATAAACAAAATATGAATATTATATTAATTATTATAATAATAACAATACAAAAATGTTATTATATTATAAATTACGTTTGTTGACACAAACCTTTGGACCTGACAAGTTTTGCTGTATGTATAATGTATATAATATATTATATAATATAGCGACGAAACTCGACTCCGCTGTAGTGATAGGTGATGGTTATATTTTATAAAAAACATCAATTTTTATTAAATGTATTGTGTGGGAGACGCGCCAGGCACTCCGTTATTATAAAATTCTATACATTCCGAGGAAATAATTAAACACAATTTCTATTCATTTAAATAGTCAAATTTATAAAAATTTGCCACCAACTAATTGAAAACTTGAAGTTTTCAAAACAATATAGTATGCGAACGTGCCTTACATTATTTAGTTTGTTATGTATCATAAATCATTATTCATATAAACTAACAGAATTTTAATACACATGTTTTTGAAAAAATAGTAACCTTATAGATTTTAAGTACCACCCTTATAATCAACACATGTCACTTGAGAGTGCAACCGTAACTTGAAAATCGAACGGTATATGGTTGGGGGCTCAGTGCATGGTTTTCTCAGGGTTCAGTAATGGAGGGGTGTAGAAAAATTAATTGCAATGTTAGCCGTGTGATCGTAGCCCACAACACAATAGAATGTTCAATTTATAGATGAAAATGTCCTTTCATAGATCCTGGTATACCTATAGGTAGTGGTATACTGAATAAAATATAAAATAATTGGTAAATATACCGGCGGGAAGTGTTGAATTGATTTGCTTTCAGTTATGCCCGCCATAATATTCTTATAGTTCGGCAATAACGGTTTGGATAAGACGTATCTGAGTCAATGTAAAATACTAAAATCTAACAAGTTTTTCAAATGTTCAATGCTCGGCTCCAATATCAAAAGTATACCTGTTATTCGGGATAACATAAAAAAAACAGTCAATGTGGAGGGGGTCATCCCCTATACATGGTCCTCCGTGAGAAAGCCCATATAGGTCGGGGGTACATTGTACGGGTATATTATTATTACCGATGCTTGTTAGCCGTTACACAAGCGCGTACGCACATATTGTATACAAACATATATAATAATATACACATTACATACGTAGGTATGCGGCGATTGAGTTCGCACTAGCACTTCAGACGGTCCTCGAATACAGCGCTGGTCCTTTCTCATCATCGCCCTGCGCGGTCCGTGCACCGTTAAAGGTCGTCACCCTCATATATGCATAAGCCACTATATAATACAATAACGTCTTCTGCTTTTTATTTTTCACCGCAACAAGACATCATAATATCGGCACGAAGACCATAGTATAATATATAAACATGCCCCCAGAGTAGTATTGCAGGGTACCTAATATACATATAATATAATATGTACCTATACTACAATATACAACATACGACTCCGTATAATATTATATACTTTTATATAATATGATCTATTATTGATAAATAATGTATATAAATATAATAATCGTAATAAATCTCTCCTCTCGACAGGAAAAATATGACGAAACCTTTCTTAGACGCATCATACACTGACATTATTATATAACAATGCGTTCAGATTATTATATTTTTTCTCTTCGGCCCGGCGACGTTCGTCGGGCCAGATCGGCATTTCCGGCATTCTTGAAAAATAATCTTCTATAGCGTGCACCGTTTCATATATATATACAATATTTATGTGCGTAAAAATACACCCCCTGCCATTAAATTAAACTATATATATATTATATTATACGGTGCACGTGTGTGTAGTTGTTATTAAAGGTATAGTCTTTCTATATTGTGGATGTACCAACCGAATCGACGTGTACACACCTATACTATTATATACCCACTCTTATATTATATTTTGACGATTCGACTAGAAAATGATTCCAGCAAGGTTTACGTCTTATAACGATTTTATCACACACTACCCCATTTCAACAGTTATTTTCTACAACGAATACTACGGATATTTTTTTTCATTGTAAACAAAAAATTTAATTTGTTGAGAAAAAAACGCTACTACCAATTTCTAAACAAGAGTATTTACAAGGATCGTATTATGTATTCTAATAATATAACACTTATGATATTTTACACCCATTTATAATAAGGTGAGATAGGTGTATAGGTGTCGTCAAAAAGTCAAGACTATATTAAAAAAAAGGTGGGCAAGTGGGTGTCGCTCTGCTGTACTGTAGGTTACAAGTGGGTCACTGTATAATGGATGGTATTAAATTTGAATTCAATGATATAATATCATTGTATAAGAAAAACGATTCTGAGCGGTGACGGTATGTCAGTCTATGTATAAGACATATTATATACATATCTATGGTATTAAACAAAAAAATGACCTATAATAAATTCCAAATTAATCATATCACAATATCCATTAGATACTTATAACAGTTATAACGCGTTATACATCAACAAAAACCGTGATACTGTCATAGATAATATATAATAGTACACTTTAGAAGTTTCAAGTACCCACGAATAATATTATTCAATCACAACAAAATAACTAAAATCGTAATTCTTGGTTTAAATATGAAATTTTGTCTCAATTTGAAATTAAAATGTCTGTAAAAAATAAGTGTGTTTATATATTTTTTAGATTTTTTGGTTACAGTATGAATTATTTAAGAGAATCTTTGTTTTAAATTTTCAACTCTTAGTTATAAAAACTGAACATTTTATAATTTTTTAATTCCAACGATTGATAATTTTCGAGATTTTGATAAATTTTGTCAAAATTCCAACTTTAAATGCTTATAAAAAAAAATCGTGCCTATGTATTTTTAATATTTTTCAACTGATATTGTAACAATATATCAGGAGCCTTGTATTAAATTTTTACACTTTTTGGCCCAACAGATAAAACTTTATTGATATTTATAGAAAAAAAAACTAAAAAAAATTGAAAGCTGTAAATGTCCATAAACAGCTCAAAAAGAGTCAAAATATTTTCAAAATTGTATGGTGTATAGGAAATGCTAATATAAACATTCAGTGAAATTTTCATGTATCTACAGTTATTCGTTTTTGAATTACAACAAAATAAGGAAATCGCTACATGAGAAATCGAGTGAAAATCCAATGTTGTAAAAATTTGAATTTCAAACGCTCATAAAAATTTAATTTGACTGTCCGGTAGAGATTTTTTTATTGATAAAGGTAGATAATCTTATAAGGAATCTTGTGTTTCATTTTCAAATCTTAGATTTAAAAAGAAAAATTTTTACGAATTCTTAACTCAAAATAATTTGCTAATTTTCGTGATTTTTCCATATTTTGTCAATTTTTGAACTTTAAATGCTTATAAAAAAAAATTGTGACTAAGGATTTTTAATATTTTTCATCTGCCTTTGAAACAACATATTAGGAGCCTTCTATTAAATTTTCAAGCTTTCGCAACCAACAAATAAAATTTTATTGATATTTCTAGAAAAAAAACTAAAAAAAAATGAAAAATGAAAATGTCCCTAAACAGTTCAAAATAAATCAAAATATTTTGAAAATGTTATCGTGTATAGAAAATGCAAATATAAACAACCAGTGAAAATTTCATGTATCTACGGTCATTTGTTTTAAAGCTACACCAATAACCAAATTCGATTTTTTGGAAAATCGATTTTGCGTAAAAATTCCCGTTTTTCCTTAATTTTTATGTTGTTTTTCCCGGCGCTTGTGAAAACTACTGGAAAATGTTTATCTTTGACCCCCCAAAGTACCAACTAGATTCACTTTCCTATCAGAAAAGGTACTATTAAAGAAAATCGAAGCACTTTTACTGTCCCAAAACGTGATGACAGACACAAAAATATAAATAAAAATATAAATAAAAATATAAATAAAAATATAAAAATATAAAAACATACATCATTGTAAAACCAATACATTCATCGCTCCGCTCAGAATCTAAAAAACCTTTCGAATCAAACGAAATTTATTACATATTATAATATTATATTTGTGACAAATCATAATATTATTCTGGTTTAGATCCATCCTTATTTATTTATTTAATTTTTTTTTTTTTACAGACAATGGCACCCAAAATCATGTTGCTGATCACCTTGTCAGTTGCGTCCGCCGTGCTAGTCTCCGCCGCTTCCCCGCCGTTCGTAAGTACATATATACTTTTGCCATATAATATATATTTAATGTATATAATATATATACATTATATAGTATTATACATTATTATACACCGTTTAGACGTAATAAAAACCATCCGTCTGTCAAAAAAAAATCTATATTTTAAAACACGCACCACGGGGGAATCTCATTTAAATTTTAATTGCCTCAGAGGCGACCGACTAATAACAATTATTATTATTATTATTATTATTATTATTATTATTAATACCTCCACCGCGGCGGCATATAGTTCGTCACGTTTCCCAGGCGGACCTCCTATATTTCTCGACGTTATACTATTTTCTGTGTATAGGTACGTTTAATTAATCGTAATTCATAATTTATGTAGGTGTGTGCCTATGCGGCTGTACAGTATACCTATATATTATATTATATACTCGTATATTTAATATAGTGAAATACGTACACACTATATATAATATATTCGTAATATCTATATACATTATGTTTTGTGTAATAGAAAAATAATGATCGTCGGCTACTGTTGTGTTATGCGATATATTTTATATAAAGTGCCGCTGCTGTAAAAAAACGCCGACGGAATCATATATAGTATAGGGTACCGGTTTCCCGGGTAATACGTGCGGGGAAATAAACGAAATAAAATAACGATTCGCTGAAAATGACGACGGATCTGAAATATATAGGACCGTTAGTTGTATTATTATTATCATAACATATAATATTATTACATTATGACGTACACGTGTTCGCCTCGAAGACCGGATCACGTTTTTGGAATGCACTTTATATTATAAAATAATATAATATTGGCCGCCGTCGGGTGTGAATTTGACATTGAATACCATTAGGTTTGCCGGCGGTGTACAGTGCGTACCTTTATATACATGTATAAACCTAGCTATATTATATATATATGGCTTGAACGCTTAGCGCTGGCCAAGTAAGTATGTAGCGGGAGGAGTACCTAACTCTTTTTTTTTATGAGAATAATAAAATTCTATCATTTCGACATTAAAACGCATTATATTATTATGTATCTTTATAAAATATTAACTCGAACTAGTAACTACCTACCTAGAACGCGTGTTAGAAGAGGACTGAAATTTCATGGTGTCATTAATACTATACGTGCGCATTTTAACACATCTTATAAGCAATCCGTGCCGGACCAAAGAGAACATCGCGACGACTACGCCATCGTTATATTATTTCTATAAACGATTTCAATAAAATACCTAACTTTTCGATAAATATTTTTATTTTTATTCAGCATTCAAATACATAGTATAGGTCTTTATCTGTTGGTATACTGGTATAGAAATTAAATACATGGCATATATACTGTTAAAACACCATAGACTACACGATGATATATTATATACTTTCGTGGTTAATGAATTGTGAAAATCTAAAAATGAATTGATTTTAAATGGAATTTGGAACTTTTATTACCTACTCTAAAATACATATAAAGCGCCCCTTAAATGTATTCTCTTTTTAATTTTTTATTTCATGGTTGCTTTTTCTATCTTACTTATTTAAGTTCTTTAATAGTAAATTTAATGTACCTACCTAGTACCTACGACCTACCTATTTTCATATGTCACACGTATGACACTCGTGAATTAATATTAAATAATATGTTCAACTCGAAATTTTAAAATATGGGTGTACCAACGTTATTGTGTTACCTATAGGCTATAATAGTAATAATTATACTAACCAAATTTAAAAAAGCGAATTCTTTCAACAAAAAAAAAATGATGGGAAAAAATATAATGTAATAATATGGTTGGTCATATTTATATGTAATGGCATAAACTATAACGTACTAAAACGTAATAAATAACTTTTTACTTAAAACATAATCCATTACATACTTGTATAGCTAGAACTATACTATTTAGTACCTACACGAGAATGTTATATTTTAAAGTCATGACAAGCAGCTCTTCATTCACTCGCACTTATAAAGATTTTCTCATATATATAATATTTTCCAAACTATACGTTAAGACACAAACCATATAGGTACTATAATAATATAATGCTATACGAACCTACTGAATATGTATAAGTAAGTCGTGCGTATATATATATATATATAATACATAATAATATATATGCATAGTACAATTCGTCGTATTTCAGTCGTATATGTCCTAAAAGCTATATTACATCCAGGTGACCGTCCGCACCTGGGTATATTCACATAGTATATTATTGTAATAAATAATAAATGCATTGGTGATTACGCTTAAAAATTAAAACGGACTGTAATAACACTGTGGGTATTAGGTTTATTATACAGTTAAAAGGTCGCTTTATTTTACTATTTATTTTGATCCACTATCCGCGTGTAAAATGTTGGAACTTCTTTACTACTTATAGCGGATGTTGAATAATTTATGTGAGACGCCGGAGCTACAGTAGTGGTGTACCTACCTGTATATAATATGTATAGTAGTTTATAATATTATAAAAAGCGAAGCGCCTTCCGAAACTAACAAGGTGGGCCGTGTTAATGGATTTTTCTTGCAATTATATAATAGAGTGTAATACAAGAATATCAATTAAGAACCGCGTGGTGAACTTGTATAATTTTTTGATATATATATATAGGTATATTATGTATATACCTATATATATTATAAAATGTGCTACAATATTATAATGTAGGTAGTAGGTAGGTACGTATTTTAAAATATAATGCACGTGGCACGTGGTACTTATAAAATATTCATAATAATATAGTATGGTTTTTCGACGAATATTCTGGTTTTGGCAAGCTGCAAATACGTCGACGAGTCTCCGCCATTTATAAACGGACCGCGTAACGTACGTGAAGATATAATTAAAAATAATTAATAAGCGCGATGTGACTTTTGACGGACGCCTTGCCGCGACGCCGTGTAAATATTATAATAATATAATGTTATATGAACGTTTAAAGGCATTCACCGAGATTAATTTATGGTCACGGGTGTGGTTTGTACCAGAGACCACCGTTGGCGCCAATGGTACACACTATACACACATAGCTACGACGCAACGAACGGACTAAAGAACAAAACGGTTATCCGAAGTGGTTTTTTCGTGGCCGACCAGCATCGATCGAGCTGCAGTGTTTTTATTTTATAATCTCGTGTGGTTTGGCCGTTTGGATTTCATCGTATCGAGAGTATATACATGTCACATGGTTATATGTACATAGATATAAGGTCAATACTCTGGAGAGTGGAGAGACGCGTTTATACGAGTGTATACATATTATATATAAGAATATAAGTGCAGTAGTGAGTATATTTTTTTTTCTGATTTGACTTGGTCTAAAAAAACAAAACATTAGTCTAACGTCTCGGATGTACACACGTATATTATATCGATCGACGATGAAAATATATCAGATAGGGGCGAGTAGAATCACCGCCTCGGTAGAGAGAAAAAAACGGAAATGAAAACGTGTCGAAACGATTACCCACCACGTCCCTATAACCCGCCTATATATACGTGGCCACTCTATATATATATAATATTGTTTTGCCGACGTGTTCACAAGTCACAACTATACAACTACGTCGGTGCAGGGCCCGAAGAAGGTGTCAACGAACAGACGGTATTGAAACCAAACGTTGTATATATGTAGGTATACGCCGTATTATTCCGTCTCGAGATTCTCGGCCGGAAACGCTCGAGCGATCCAATCGATATATTTCATAAACGGACGACGGTTTCGCCATCCCTTATTCTCGAGAGCGACCTCGTGAGATACCCGCGGGCCACGGTGATGACCGAACGAGGACGGGACGCACGTTGCTCGTGTAATGGTCCGGAAACGGTGACTGACGGGGATGTCACGGTCGAAAAAATGCAAAAAAAAAAAACCGAATGAAAGAGTCAATAATATATAAGTGCGCGGTATTCCTACTAAGCGTAGCGAAGGTGAACCCACTGCGTAACCGCACACCCATCGTCTCACCGAAGACGGCTCGAGAACGTATCAATTCTTTATTTCCATATTACTATTATAAAGATAAAAAAAAACTACCTAATAACAATAAAGATGTTTATCCGCGCAGAGTGCACAGCGCTCGCTGCACATCTCCGTAGTCTGTACATAATATTATTTCGATCGACAACTGCGCATCTTGATAACGCATGATGATAATACAAGTTTTGAAGCATTTGAATGAGTTTTTTTTTCTTTAAACGTTTTACGCGTTATCGTAAAAAAACGCTTCTCACCGTGACTTGTTTTACGTCACAACGTCGTCGTCTACTTATACTCTAATGTCTCTAACTATTTCGAGATACGGCGGCACTCAATGGAGTAGTAATGCACTGGAGGAGGATTTCAGTAAAAAACATATTTGTATTTTAATTCAACGGCCGAACCCGACGTGACTATATAGACACTCTGCAGCTGCAGCAGTCCGTAGCCGCGAGTTTACGAGAGGGTTACATTAGGTATAGGTACCTATGCATTATGTTTTAGGAGAAAATTATCTCCTGCAACAGTGCGTTCTCAAAAGTCATTATATATACCTACCGAGGATGGCAGTAAAAAACATAACAAACTAGTACAGACGAGCGGCTCCCTCTATACTATATATATATAGCTACAGTCAGTGCCTGAATATTACCTACGCGTATATATCAATCGATTATTGGGTATAACGACTTACGGTCGTCGTCGTCGTGTTGTAATGTGCTCGTGGTCGGTGGGTTTCAATAACTCGTGAAAATAATAATATTTTAATACCGGCACAACGCCTAAAGACAAATGTAATAAGTTATAACACACATATATATTATGGTACAACCGAATGCCACGCCAGTCTAATACCAGAAATCACTGTACCTACCACGTTATCATAGAACGACGCGCGCGCTGCACCGCCTATATTATACATAGCCGGAATCATCGACGATAAATAATAGAAATATTCGTATACATATTATATGCGTATACGCGCTGCATATGAAGGTATAATAATTATTCACGAAATTAAAACTCATAATTCTCAGTGGTATTTCATTTTTATTTTCATCTATTAAATATTAATTACACGCGTGATCGTCTTGTACGATCAGAGACCGCAATCCACAAATATACGAGTAGTATAATAAATACGATTTAAACTATGCACAGCCGTACACGTGTCCGCAGTTTCAATTGTGATGAGTGACGATTTGTTTCATAAAATAATTTTTGTTTTGCAAACATATTTATTTTTTGCACATTGTCTTAGTATTTACCTTTAAATGAACGTTGTAACCGTATGGCAACTGTAAAAACTGACAATATTTCTTTATAAGACGTACACATTTAACGCGATATGATCGTGAAAATATTATCTAAGAAGAAACCCGTTATCATTACGGGAAACAAAATATTAGTACACAACTAGTAACTAACCTCTACTGCTCTAGTACCTTAATTGCAAATAGTCCAGAGTATCGACTTTTAAAACATTGTATTATTGTAATAGTATACCTAATTTTTACTTTTGTTTTGACTCTCTTGCCAAATTATAAATTATTGTAATAAATAAATCTTAAATTATTGGAATTTTTACTAAAAATTTTTTTTTTTGTTTAATAGCAGTTTTAAGTACCTACCTATGATGTCTCACATTATGTATACTCACTACCCCTTTGGGTGTTAGGTTTAAATAAATAAATAATAAATAATTAGTCTTATTAAAACTCGGCGATGAATTAATTTTAGTGTTTTAGTTAGTAGTGTATAAAAATAACTTAATTAATGTTAACAATTTTAATGCCGATGAACCATATAGTTGGTTATAGTGGTTTGACTATACCGCGGTATACGCGGCAATATCAATTATTGCACAGTTTTTAAAGTAAAAATTAATAAATTAAATTGTTAATTATCTCATGATGGTATAACCTTAATTATTATTTACTATCTTACCTCTCATTTGCTTAAAATCGGCCAAGAGTAATTAAAACGAAAACGTGCCTGAAGAGGTTCATTCATTTGTTTTAATTAATAATTATTACGCTTTATATTCAGTCAGACGAAACCTTGCAATCGGTTTGTGAATTGTGTTTGAGATACGTTGCGTCTACTGTCGTCCCAAGTGCTCCAATTATTGTACATTAACGACAAGATTTTTTTTTATATAATACTCCGTAAATCAACATATATATAGGCGAATATAAGTATAATCATGTACTTACATAATATCTTCTTACAATATATAGCTGCAGTTTGATGCTCCAAACATTGTTTAGTATTATATATTATATTATACACTTGTAAAAACGTTGATCTCCGTTCAGATTATCCTTGGGGGAAGAGGTCCCGCAATTGTATGCTATAAATGCAAGTATACTCTCAAAAACCACTAAGAGGTTGTGAACTGAAAAAAAAAGTCGAAATGAATCGAGATGAAATCTCATCGTGATCTCTCACAATGAAAACATAATATCACTCGTGTTGTAGCTACAGCCGTCACATGCTATCTCGGCTGAAAAAATACCCCCCATATTGTTGTTGCGAAACCGAGAGATTTCACATTGCTTTCAGTTTTGAATTTTTTATCGTAAAACATAATATATGTTATATATAATAATAATATATAATATGATATTATATAGTCATCTACTCGCGACTCTTAACGTTCATCGCACCGAGTCCCACGATTCCGTTTGAATTCACCATCATCGACGCTTTTTTTTTAGGAAAATGCGAGAACATGATATAATATTATATAATAATACGAGCACCACGATATGAACAAAAATAATAATAACAGTGAAGTCGTGTTGGTGACACGCATTTTTCGAGTTTATTATTTTCGTCTCTCGAACATCCATCGGTGATATATTGCAGTCGTCGTACGAGAAAATAACAACGATAATAATAATAATAATAATAACAATAATCGATCAGTATATAGGATTTAAGACGGGGACACGTCGCCAATATACTCGTACCCAACAGTTTGCAATTGTTAGGGTTGGAGAGGGAGAGGGGGGTAAATATTGTTGTAGCGGATGAGAGAAACCCACAGTGTGTAAGAGCTGCGGCGTCTACAGTCGGCCAACACGCCGACAAAATGCCTTTTTATTTATATACAGTTTTTTTCTTCAGTTTATTTTTTCACTTCTCGTCTTGACGTTTTCACTGACGATGTCATTTGCAATGCTATATACATAATAACAATAATATGTTACGCTCTACGGCAGTGTACACGCTTCTCCTTTGCAGTGCCAATCGATTTTGTTGTTATACGACATTTTTATTTCCCTTCGGTTCCCCGCATATATGATACACACACACACACACACACACACACACACACACACACACACACACACACACATAATATTATGTATGTTATAGGTATGGTTATTGACATGTCGGGTCGATCGACTCAGGATTCGTCTCCTCACTGACGAAAATCGTATATTTGTATCAATCTGCGATGTACATAATAATATGACTATTTAGACTTAATATATGTGTATGGGAAATCGAATAGACCCCTCCACCCACCCTAACTAATATATTTATATTATACGTCGTCGCGTCGTCTTCGACAATAATAAATAATAACAATAATAATAATAATAATAATAATAATAATAATAATATAATATTGTAAGACCGTAAACCATACACGGTGCATTGAACTTTAGTAGTCTACGAAACTTCCTAGTTTTTCGAATATATATAACGCATCTCTCTCCGCGTCCTTCTCATTTAATATTCAAGGATAGAATATCTACATGTATACACATTATTACGTGTATGTAGTAGTAGTTCTATTACCGCGTATGGTTCGTTTTTTATTCTTTTTTATTATTATTTGCTTTCGAAACGAAATCAATTGTATTTGTTCGTTTGAACAAATACATTTGCATTTATTATGCTGCGCGTATAAGTACACGTCTTCACCGTATAGTTATAGTATGCATAATACAATATAGGTGCAATATAACCTGCACTGAAGCTATATGGGGCTATATACTTACTCGTACCTATAATAGTTTCAAGTTTTTCGCGGTTTCTGGAAATTTCAAACAAACTTTTAAGGTCCGTCAAGTTTGCACCGGCACATTATGCTATGACTACGAAACTGATATCAAAAATTTGCAAGGAATTAATATTAAAATAATATTTGGGGCTGTTAGTTGAAAGTTGAATTATAATGATGAAAACATCAAACAATTTACTAGCAAGAAATATTTTATGTATAATAATAAGGTAACGCGTTTGGATATTTTAGTTATTATATTATAACCAAAACTCGAACTATTTAAAATAAAATATACAATAGGTCCAATATTTGTTATATATTATTTAGAAACAAAAACAGAGAAGGTGTAAAAATTATAATTTTTCAATATATTCCGTAATAAAATATAAAAATATAAAAATAGTTTCGAATTTACTCCTCCTTACTTTTACTTTATTACCTTTAATTTCATATTGCCGGCGGTACTATACATAAACATAATTTATTTGTGCATCGCACTCTGCCACTCTATAAACATTCTGGAAATAATTTTTACAGGAAAAAAATTATGAAATTTCTTTATATAAAACTTTCCCTTTGATAATATTTAAAGTTTTATTTGTCATCAAACGAATTACTTTTTTATTGTTTGTTAAATCATTATACCATTCCATAAAAATATATATAATTATTTAGTATAAGGGCAATAATGGAAAACTTTTCAATTCATGCTGTATATCGTAGTTTAATTAGTTTGTTTTTGATATTATACCCTTTTATTTGTCGCTTTGTTGGTATAGTCTAAGCACTAGACAGTTGTAGTAGACCAGTTGTAGACCTTTATCGTAATTTTTAGGATAAAAATATGCTATTTATGTACCACACATATGTAAGTACGTTTTTATACGTGCGCTGACCTGTAAAGTAATGTGTTTTATAATAAATTGAGTGGGCAATTTTTTTGTTTAAACTTATTAACATTTGTTTAAATTGTTTTTCTTTTTTAAACGTATAGCAAGAACGCAAAGCCATAGTCGTTCTCAAGGGACCCGGCCAGGTGAGCGGTAACGTGACATTTATCCAGGCTAATCGCGGTGGCCCGGTCACGATAACCGGAGTGGTGTCCGGTCTTACCGAAGGACCGCACGGTTTCCACGTTCACGAGAAGGGAGACGTGACCAACGGATGCATATCCACCGGATCGCACTTCAACCCACAAGGGGTGAGTAACATTACAACGTTAAATCTGATAAAATAAAAATAACACAATATTTTAACGTTTTATGCGATTCGGAATAATAGGTAACCATTATAAAAGACAGTTTTTTTTGTTACTTGAACATATTATAAGTATACCTACGTTTAAAATATAACGAACCTACCACTGCAGTACCTGCACTGTTGCAATTGTATACGACTCGCAATTATAATCATTTTGAATTGCGAAAAACCAACTGGCAGTGCTGCTCTACCGTTCTGAATTTTATAATATAATAATAGATATATACAATCCTTACAAATTATACAAAATAAAAATATAATTTCACATTTATAATAATAACGTTGCGTGCTGCTTCGGAATAAATAAATGTGACGTAGGTACAATAGTTCGCATACTTACCTAACGAATCGAACGCGGTGCGTTTAAATTTAAACTAGCCGCGGCACCTATATATACCTACTCTCCAAAGCATAATAATTTTAATATTCTAGTTCTCTCGGCGTATAATATTTAACTCGAAAATGAACATTATTAAAACGTTTCAATAAGCCTCTTCCGACGAGACATCTCGCGTTCGTATATTATGTTTTATAGTTCTTCGCGTACTTTTAATGGTGCGCGCACTATTCAGGATATACTGCCGTCGCCGCAGCAGGTAAATTATATTATATACAATAATATAATGTAATCTGTTATACAGTCGTAAAATATACGCGACTGAAGCGCGGATCCAACGCGTACACAAGAGCATAATTTATAAAAGCCTCGGTTTACTTTACCATAAATTTGAGATTATTCAACGATGACGATTATATAGTATAATAATATTATATATTTATATAAGTTTTTTTATATTATTATTATTATCATCATCATCATATTATAACTGTGCTCGCAGCAGTATAGTTTTGTCGCTAATGCGATGGACCAAGTTTTAAACCGCGTATCGTATCGGTAAGACATTATTAGACACATTATATTAAAAACCGTCGTTATTGTATATGTGTATACTAAATTTAGTCGTTTTTGTGTGTATAAATCAGAACGTAACTCTAATACGTGTTTGAAAAAAATACATCATAATGGAGTTTTTTTTATTTTATGATGTCATAAAATGTGGCTTTGAAGTTTGGAGGACCCATTAAGAAATGTTTGTCTCACATAAATCACCCAGCTATTTAACCGATTTAGATATTTCTACCTACGTTAATAGCTAAAATATATAATAGCTAACCTACTGTATTACTATCGTATTTCCTAAATCTTGTCATGCTTATCTACAAATTCAATAAAAACAACAAATTGAATATAATTACAATAAGGGTACCATTGGGTACCAATTATTGGTTTTAATTATTGTTTTTATACAAATTCAAATAAATACGACAATCCCATGAATATAGGTAATCTTCTTATATACATTCAATTACCTACGATTTATAAAAAATAATCGATTTTGAATTGATTTCTTACATACGGCAAAGTAAGAGTAGTATACAATTATTTGGGAAAACATACCTACATAACTTCTATATACTTAAACGACAGAAAGTAAATCAAAAGCCTTTTTCATATATTTTCATGAATACATATTTTTTTTTTCTAGTGCATTGAGTAATGACTAGTGAACATTAAAATGGTTTCAATATTTTATTATTAATTATAATTATATTAAGGGATATTTGGTGATGACGGAATATGAAACCAGTGAATTAATTATGAAACATTTTATATTATATAATCAGATAATCTGCAAACTATTACAATTTTGCCAAATGTTTCCTAAAAAAAGGTCATGCATATGATTTATCATAATATTCCGTATACAACGATATACATAACTTTTATGTCAGCACAAATAATTACTAAACACTTTTCCAACTTTAAGCACAGTAATAATAATATTATGTTTATTTTAAGTTCGTTATATAACCAACTTTAATATTATTATATAAATATATAATATACAGTATAAATAGCATGACCTCGGAACTTGTTTTGTGAATCGTATTTGAACTGTATTACAGTGTTCACTAGACTGCAAAAAATGTAAACTCTCAAAAAATACGAGTCCGTAAATTAGATCAGAATCACGTCGCCTAATATAATAATATGTAACCGCACGCAATATAACAAAAATATTGTAATTTCCGTATTGAGATTAAATTAAACCGTTGTATCGTAACGTGCGATAAACACGTATATTATTTTGTACGAACGATATTTATTATTTTTCATCGTATGGAGTTCAATTAATAACTGTAGCGGCTCAGATTGCAAATGTACACGAGTAATCATGAAAGAAAAACTGTGCCGAAAATGTGTAGGTTTATTCGACAGATAACACGACACGCATATCCGCGCGATACTTGATTAATCGCCACAGAATCTCTTCTAAAAGGATTTTTCGGACGCTTTTGCCGCGGTAAAAGCATTTCCGTGTGACAAAAACTTATTCTGTTTCCCGCTTGTGAACTGCGATAAATCGCCAATTCCGAAAATACGAGTACCTAGCGGTCTAGTGTACATAATATAATTTATAATATTATACTATACGCGAATGCTATTGCGTGTATCGTGTATTCGTTTAACGTGAAAACGATTCAGCGGTGCAGATCCATATAATGTCTGATCGTGTAGAGAGGTGTGAATGATGAACTGAAAACTTATACAATATATAGGTACAATATAGTGTCCGAAAAATTATGGGTTTTTACTTTTTAACAGTGTTATATAATTTCTGAAATTCGTGTTCATTATTAAAGTCTGACTGAATAAAACATCGAATACTAACTACAGAAGTAATTTTTAAACCAATATGAGCGGATCTTCATACTACCGAGTCTCCCGCATGCATGTATATATATTTTATGCACCTGACGCGAGTTGGCGATCGTGACTAAACTCAGTCGCCCCTGAGCCTTCCCGTCGCGCGAAGCGAGGAGGAAGACACGTCGCCGTCGTCGGTCCGCGTGGGAAGTATTCGTATTGAAGTGTTGTGGAAACGTTTTGTGCTTAACTAGCCATTGTTTGTCTACATTGTATAATATATATATATTAAATAGTAGAACGATTGTCATTGCCACAAAGCGAACGATTTCAATTGTACAATGCCCTACGTGTGTGTTTGTGTGCGTTCTTCACGGCTCCGCGACGATGGCAGCAGACAGACCGATCACCGATGGACACACACACAATAATAATAATAATGATAATAATAACGATAATAAGATATAATAGAGCTACACCAACAGTTAGCAGTCGTCACAATGTCTATACAGTAGTGTGTGTGTGTGTATGTATTTATGCTGTATGCATGTATATATGGTCAAGAGACGTGCGTGTGATTTGAGGAACGACATAAAAGAACCATTCGAAAACAAATTGAAAATACCAATCTACGTGGGCGTGGGAAAATCAGAGTAGTTTTCAATACGTTTAAACGTTATTAAATACGCAACCCGATAATAACATATTTTTCGTCACGTTACCGCACGCGACTCGTATTATTGAAGTCGGCTATACGTGAAATATAATATAATTTTCTAGCTATATATCGTGAATCCTGGCACTTGGGAGCCGCCGTCTGACGTCCTAAGAATTGGTACCTATTTATTTGTAGCTCAACTACATCGTATGTCGTATACGATATTAAAATAATTATAAATATTAAATGTATAGACTTTCTACATAAAAAACGAATTTTGTACACGAAAATTCTGCAGGGCAATTGGTGTGTGGCATATTCTAACGCGTCCAGTCATCACAAACGTGCCTACACATAATATTATTATACATTGTTCGATTATAGCGCCTAAGACCTATAGGGTTTTAATTTTATTATATTTTTACTGCGGTTTATCAAGCCGAGTCATCGTCATACTATATTTTATGCGTGAAATATTGTGAAAAAAATAATCACCTTGCATTACAGATGTTCGGGTTTTTCATTATTTTGATAAATCTTTATCATCAAGTGGAATATTATCGTTAAACGTTTACAATATTTTACGTTTAGTCGTTTTAATTGTCTTTACGCCAATAACACGCATTTTAATTGCCGGTACGTGACGCGTTCTCGTAATAGTCATTAAAAAAACACAAAGAACCTATTGAAGAAAAAAAATGTCACATTTATTAGTGGTCGTTAAAGCAAATGTAATGCTCACATTATATATTAGTTGCCATAGGTAGCTGAAACGGATGAAGTGATAGATGTATTATAATATAAGTATATAACAGTGTATTAATGTTACAGCTAGCGGCTGTAGGCAGCCTATATTTTTCAATTTACAATCGTAAAACAAATCTGTGGGGATAAATAAATACAGGACTGATATAAATACACTATACACATATACTATATAGCATATAGGGCATATATAGGCACATAAACTTCTCTGCAGAAACTGTTTTACGACCGCACTGTAAAAGTGCAGATCAAATACATTCATATGTATACGATATGAGTGCTTTTAAATCACGAAAAAAATTATATGCGTACCCTCAAATAGTTCACTTATAATAATTATAACATAATATTTCATAAAATATATTACCCAATCATTGTAATTTAGGAAGGTATATTGTATATGGTATATCTGAGCTTGAAACTGCGATTACTGTATGCAATTTCAAAGATATTTCTAGGGGGGAGATTATCTAGAATTAAATTGTCAAGCTCCGCTGGAAATTTGAATAATTTATAATAATAATAAAATAAGTACTACACATTTCTGTATAAATTGTATTTTTTTATTTTAAGACAATCTGTTTTATGCACATATTTTTAAAATATATATTCTCAATTTGAAAAGCTAACTTTGATTTTTGTGCACATGACACTTAAAATCTCGATTCTATCTTCTCTCGTTTGCCTATATATACGCAACGAACATAGGAATTCTAAAATTTTCAGCATGAACAAAAATCATAACCATCATGACGCATAAAAACGTATGAAAAAATAAGACAATTAAGGCAGCAGTATAAATCTGCAA